CATGTCTGACCTACATGTGCTGTGTTTTGTGTACTATAGGGAATTAGGCATATTTGGATGATGGGAATGTTACTATATTGAATAACAGTCAGACTTTGGGATACAACAGACAGGTTAAGTAATATCTGCAAAACGGGTCTTAAATATAGGACGTATAGGCCCGGTTTCACAAACAGGGCTTAGACTAAGCCAGTATTAGGCCATAGTTCAATTAGGATATTTAAGTAATTTTTATGAACGTACTTAGGAAAAAAACATTACTGGTGTGCATCTTGAGATAAAACAAAGGCACTGATATATTTTAAGATCAGTCAGTGCAAGTTTCTTTCAGTTGAAACAACTCAGACTTACATTTTAGTCTAGGATTAGGCTTAAGCCTTGTCTGTGAAACCGGGGGATTAAGGTCCATTTTAAAGATCCTATTATTATTTTTCAAGGATTGAACATTTTATTATAAAGATAGAGCCATTTTACCACATCAGAGGTCTCTGCTAACTGACTGAACCTTCAATCTGAAAGCTAGAGGCCGATTGAGCAACATGTTCACCACAAACGTCCACAAGCGATTGCAACATCACAACATCGAAGTGATAAAAAAAAATAATGATAATAAAGTGCAAAAATGCTTGCTTTGACTGATAAGGACTGTGGGCTATGACACAGAGTCATGCTTAAACCGAATCATTTGTCCATATAAGGAGAAGATGTTTTGCTAAACAGTTCCAATCAGAGGCCACAGTGTATAACATCATTTCCTGTAGAGTGGCTGACAGGAAGAAACTTCTCAGTACAGCCTGAGAACTGCTGTGGTGAACATCAGCGGAGAAACATTGAACTTCTGCACTGAAATAAACACAATACAATTTTATTATATTATATTATATTATATTATATTATATTATATTATATTATAATAAAATATTAGAAAACTAGAAATATTAATTTGGTTTAATATAAGACATTTTACCTAAACAAAAAATAATTTTCCAAAACATTAATGTACAGTGCATATTTACCCAATCCACCTGTGGCCAGTGTGAGTTTATATATAACACACAATATGTACAAGTTATAAATAAGTAACAATAAATAATAAGAAAGAGAATAAGAATAAGAAATAAGAGTGTTTGTTTGCACCTACTTTTGCAAGCATGATTTGCACACACCGTGGTTTGATCTTTTTCCAACCACTGGACTGACCCACTGGCATGTTTTCACACCTTTCTTTAAATCAAAACCACACATGCACCATTGTCAGAAAAACATAAATAAATACTTGCCTCCAAGTCAAAAAACAACCCATCCATGTGTACATTTTTGTCATAGGTCTGAACCAGTCTAAACCATAGGTTTAAGTCCAGCGGTAACAGGCTGCAAAATCTATTTAATAAGTCACAACAAGTGATGTGTGAAACAATATATACTGTAATAATTAGTGAACTATTGCAACAATAAAATTGGTGCCATTTTGCTGAAATCATTCTATAAAAAATAAATTCTCAAAAGCTTATTTGTTTAAAAAATAAAAGGAAAAAATGTTAACATTTGCTTAGCATTTTAAATGAGTTTAAAAATGTATTTTATTGTCAGATCAGTACATATAAACCCTTGATATCAACCCCTCACCCTTTGACATTACTGTCAACGCCTACGTCCTACGTCATCCACTGAAACGGCTTGCACGTATGACAGTCAGCAGAAGTGAGAAAAAAAGTATTTATAACATTTTAAATACTGATATTTTTCTTACAAAAAGCATCGATTGGGTGTGAAATATTTGTCCATCAGGTTGTGTCCTCCATGTTAGTTTGGTGTTACTCGGCAGTCCCAGTTTCCTCAGCTTTTGCTGCAACTGAAGACAAACAGAGCCATCAATCGTTTAAGATTATAGTCATCAAAACCTTGTTTTCATTAGTCTTTGAAGCATTTGCATAACTTTGACCCACATATTATAAAATATTATAAAACGTAAAGAGCATATAAAATAATGTGACTTGCAAAACCACTGCGTATTATTTGACACTGACCTGCTGTAAAATGATGCTGTTAAAATCACTGACATTGGGTTTGAATGCTGACTGCATATTTATTTTAATCTTCTTTGCTACAGGGATTGAAATATACAAATTTAGTAATTTGCAACAGAAAACACTTTTTTTGTCTTTATACTAAGGTCACACGCCTAAAAGTAAAGAGATATTCTTACCAGAAATGCAGACAAATTTGAGTTTATATGAACATGATACATCAGTCCAATGCACATTTGGCGAAGATAGTTTTGCACAAAACCTGTTTCCTAGATTGTCAGGTTCAGAAGACTTCCAAAACCTGAATAAGGAGTTGCTCTTATCTGACCATTTCCAAGTGTCTCTGTATAATGTAAGCTGGTGTCACATTATTAGTCTTGAGCAGCAGCTTTAGTTCTGTGTTCTCATCTTGGTTTTCTATTGTAGCCAAATCATTGTGATACAGTCTGTAGTAGTTTAAAGTGTCACTCCAAGTAGTTTGTTTTTCTTGGATTAGGTCAGATGTATTTGTTGTGGCTGTGGGCATATTGTTCATTTAAACATTTTGTTTTATAGATTTTCTTAATGTATATATTGTGCATTAAGTAAAATCAACAACAAAAACAATTATCTGTGGTTTGTGGTTTTACATGGCACATCAGTCCAGTATCCTGAAACTGACATACTGGTTGTGTTTTTTTCCCCATTTGGTGTATGTTATTTTTTTTTCTCACCATTGGACCATCTCCAGCTGTAGCGATCATCATACTGTACAATCCTACCAGTGTAACCTCCCCTTACCAGAGACTTACACGACTTGGTCGTGTTCCTCTTTGTTGTCAAATGTTGCTAAATCATGAAAGTATTTTCTGCAGTAATCTTGAGCCTCAGTCCAGTTCTTGAACTCATCATTGGTGTAATAAAGATTGAAAAAAGCACCATGTAAGATGTGAAAAATTGTTTATTAGTGATAAAAACAGTGTGTTGTTCTGCTGCGTGTCAAATCGGATTGGAGGATGGGAAATAGCTGTTGTATCATTTTGTTTTTTAGGCTTGTGGTCAAACAAATTATCTATACACATAAATAAATCTTTAAACTACTAACAGTGCTGTGAGAAGCATCCTGTGCACAAACTCCATTACTTTGTTTTTTAGACTAATTTGATGGATTATGAAGAACGTGAATTTTTAGTTAAGAAATACACAACCACGAATTTACTCCTGAAAATACTGTGAATACATGTATGCCAAGCAATAGTAATAATTAGCTTGACGCGCTGTTTTTTTTGCACTCTCTTTTCCTCTAGAACCATCCACAGCCCTTGACTCTGCCTTAAGATCTTCCCTTTCTAAGGATACTTTTGATTTGACATTAAATTGATTATGTAAGAGTCATGTGCAACATTTACTTGGCAAAATCAGTTAGACTATAATTTTATGCACGTGTCAGTAGATTTGCATTAATTTAATGTGTGTACTGGGCTACTTTTTAGTTACAGCAGCTATCACTGTGTTGTTATGAAGTCAGTTGTGCCAGACAATTTTGGAGGCAGAGACAGGTTGTGGGGGGCACTAATAGGGAAAAACTACGATGCATTCTGCCAGTTAAAACAAAAATCAGACTTGTGTATTTATGACATCAATTACTACATTATTGTTTCAGAAATTGAAGTAACTTTAAATGTTATTGTGAGTTTGTACTTTTCATAGCCTATTTTTAGCTTTATAGAGAGCTTAGGTTATTTCACGGAGCTGTCAACACTGATCCGACCGCCTGCAATCAGTTGATGAACATCCTATTCATATATAATACTAGGCTAGGCTATATGTTATTAAATTGTAGGCTATATTAAATTATTTTATTTATAATTTCCGTGTTTGTTTTTTTCCCGTTATATTCGTTGCATCTGAAAATTGCTTCTGCACTATAGTCTACATAATTTTAATTTAAATCAATTAATATTCAGAAACAGTTTTTTTTCTTTTCAAAGAAAAAAGTGCATGCCCCCTCACTTTGTGCGCCAACCCTTATAGAGGCATTTACATTTTGACAGCCTAAAAACAGACTTCAAATCAAGAAAATGTATCAAATTTGTAACGCAATCAGTAAAGACCACTTCAGCAGTACTGTTGGTATATGTTTTTTTTTATTTTTTTTATTTATTTTTTTATTGTTAAATGTGTAAGCGGAAATATTTTGAGTGAAATTGCATATTTGTGAAAAGTCTGTTTGGATGGCTGTTAAATTGTCTAACACCAAAAAATGACAAAAATATATGCAGCAATGAATAAAAGATACAGAAACAATAATGTATAAAGCAGACTTCATGTCTTGTTATTTACAGAAATGTAAAGCCACTCATACATTGTATTGCTACATTTTTAGGGCGGAAGATTAAAAACATGTATGTACTGTAGATATAACAGATCATGCATCATTTTACATATAATACCATTTATGCAAAATTACTTTGTAAATTACACATCATGTCTTACATTTCTACTGAGAGTATGAAAAGGAATTTGTGCCATGTACTTTGAGACAAATCAAATGGATTTTAGATACAATCAAGTGTCAAAAACACAATATACTGTAATGTAACTAAACAGAGCACACATCTGTGGTTGGATTTCTGTTCTGTATAGATGGCCATATGTACATGCAGCCAACTATATGTGAAACTCAAATGTTTAAACATGTTAAAAATGAAATTACATATTGCATTAAAAAGACTGCAAATCTGGTATGTACTGTATATTGTACACTGTTACAAAGCAGTACTGAAATAAATTTAAAATGCTGCATAAATTTACCCCATAAATTTATGCAGCATTTAGCCTTGAACTGAAAACTGCGGTTTCTAATTACCTTTAGCGATTATAGGCTGTTTTTTAGTATACATGCTGTATGTCACAAGAGAGTGTTCTTCAGTAATCTTTACTTTGGGTATATTTGCCATTAAATAACTGTGTGCCGCATAACTCAGAATGTCTTCACTCTACAATAATGAGGAAAAAGAAACAAAGATCAGAGAATAAAATGTCACATAAAATGTAAAGTTGAGTCTTAAGAAGACACATCAGCACAATCATTTGCACTTAATAAAACTGACAGTAATTATATGATTCGAACCCTTTGAAATCACAAACATAAATGTAAGCACTTACTTGACACTCTAGAGATTTGTTGATTGTGGATGAATAAAAAAAGTCATTAAAAAGCATACAAATATCTTTGTAGTGTCAGTTATTGCATCTTATATAATATAAATGTATTATTGTGTGCCAAAATTAAACCTTACTTTTATTTGGATCCTGACATAGTTTTATGGCCAGAAAAACAGCAGTCAAAAATATGATGTTTAAAACTCCAAGAACAAGCAGGGCTGGATTCACATCGACACTCTGAAATTACCAAAAATTCAAGACATACTTCAGAGAGCTAACAGTAGATCAGTTCAATGGTATTATTTCTCTTAATATTTGAATAAAATATTTCTCCTGAGTGAAAACATTAAGTATTTTTCCAAAAGCCTTACCTCTAAAATTTAGTTCAGTTCCTTTTCCAAACAGTATCTCTCCACATGCGGCCACAGCACAGTAGTAAATCCCAGAATCAGAGTGATTTATGTTGCTCTTGAAGAGGTTGTAGACACAGCTCTGTGTTTGAAACTCTGTGCTGTTCTCACACTGACCATTTCTCTCTCCTTTTGTGTAAAGCACTCCTTGAGATTCTCCTGAGCTTTGCCTGAACCAGTAGACACTGTGTTCTCCTGCACAGCTCTCAGTGAAGATGCTGCACTGCAAACTCACAGAATCCCCTGGATGAAGCGTGTCTATCAAAGGCTGCTGAAGAGTTGTGTTTCTACCTATGGCTGCATTTTGAAAAGGGACATAAGAGGGACAACATGGTAAGGACAAAAAAATCTGACACCTCAAACCAAACAAAGCTACAATAACAAACAGGAAAACTTACCTCTGACAAGTAATCTGGATCCTGCACCCATTCTAATGATGTGATATGACGAGACTACACAGAAATATGTTGCTGTGTCTGAAAGCTTTATCTTTAAAATGGTCAGATTAAAATGATCATCTCCTTTAATAACATAAAAACGATTTGTTTTCTCAAAGTCCTCATTCCAACTGGGTGGTTGATTTAAAAATAAAGAGACAATTTGTAAGGATTTTCCATCAGCCGTCTGTTTAAACCATGCTTTTGTCGCTTGCAGAACATTTGAAAATGTGCAAGTAAGGTTCACATCCTCTCCAGCTCGAACTATTTTTACATTATCCTCCTGAAAAACATCCACATCAGAGGAGCATACTGCAAAATTAAAAAGGTACATTTAGTGTTATGTAGTGATAGATTGTTGTAAAGTATAAAAGTATAAAAAAAGTACATTTACCTATTGTTGAGGAGAACAAAAAAAAAAAAAATCTTATGATCAGCATTCTTCCAAAATTCCCCTGAAAAAAGAAATAAATAAATAAAATAACAACAACATGAATCAGCCCCCCCCCCCCCAC